ACAAACAGAAATGAAAAATAAAATAAATACATTATTTAAAAAGGAGTTGGATATACATATATAATTAAAAAAAACAAATTAATATATATTTTGTTATAATAAAATCATCAAATTTAAATTGGTTTAATTATTTCAGTCAATAAAGTAATATCACTATTTCTATTTGTATATGCATATATATAATAATAATATTTATATATAATATATATAAAATTCTTATTTTTTTTTTCAAGCATTTATAGTATTATATTCAAATGCCACTTAAAGCATAACATTTTTCTAGTAAGTGTTGAATGATTTTCCAAAAATCTAATACTTAAAATAAGTATAACACAATTTTTTTTGGTTTATTTATATTGTGATAATTTCTAATAAATGCATAAATGGCATGAAAAGTTATAATTTTGTTTATATCTACCTGATTTAATTTTAGAATAATTTTATATTTCAGAGGTATATATTATTATTGAGTTAAATCAATAATACAATATACATCATGAAATAAATGGGAATGAAAAAAAGATTCAACATGTGTACGACTACATCAATATTTAATAATGTTTAATTAACCGACTAAAAATCCAACACCCATTCTTAATTGATGTTTGGCAGGAGAAAACATAGTACTCAATGCAAATGTAAATGGCATTGGGTGTAGACGTTTTTCCAGTGTCGTGCTAACATTCCACTTTCTATCTATGCTACCTAAGAACAAAAAAAAATTAATTAATTTTGGTTTAAAAATGTAATTATTAAACTACGTGATCAATAATCATTAATCACTGAAATATTTTTTTCGAAAAATAAACTTCACATTTGGTGAATCATTAATAGATAATATAAGTTATTATAGATAACTCTCTGCAATGATTAATAATACAATTAATATATAATAGGATCAATTTTTTATATATAATTGATGTATTATTTTTATTTTAAATATTTATAAATTTAATTAAACCTATTATGCAAGTCAACTCAGGATAAAATGAGGAACTTAATATTCAAACCCAATTGAACAATATACTACTTAATTTAATCTCTAATTTTACAAGAAATCAATACTGATTTAACTGTTAATAAAATAAATAACTTTTTGTTTACCGTTTTGAATGCAACATGAGGAACTTTTCTTCCCCTAAATAAAATTAAGAACTCAGTAACACTGGGATAGAATGGAGTATGAATATTTTTATGCTTTTAAACATGGTAATATTAATAAAAACCAATATAAATTATTTTTAATTATACCTTTAAAATGTTTATATATTGTACAATCATATTACTGTAATTACTGTTTCTTTGTACTCAACAAGTTTTTAAGTCTTAAGTTGATTCTATCCTTCATAATAATTGTTTCTATTTTTTTGGATTTACTTGAATATCAATTTTATTACAATATTATTTTATTTTATTTCTCAGCTTATGTTGATTTGTCCAGTTAATAGATTGAAAAACTGAGTAAATACAACTTTAATGAAAACCATGGCAGCAGCATCAGATATCTTTGAGAGTCCCAAAATATAATTTAAATGACACAAAAATGGGAATATATATTCAGTTTTAATTAAACAAGAAAAAGTATCAAAAGTACATAATCTGATAACTATAAATTTTTTACTAAATTGTATGTATAATTTTACCTATATGTAGCACAAAAACTAAAATTTTAAAAATAGTTATTTGATCAATGATAAAATTATCATATTATTTTCACGATGGAAAAATTGTCAATAACATAGTTTTAAAAAAATATCTGTATGCTGCTATACAATGCTTTGTAGTCATACTCGAGTTCCCTTAATCAATATATTAAAAAAACACTTGATAAATTAATTTTATTTTTTACCTTTAATGTTGATATCTGATTTAGGAATTTGTGCTTGGTATGCAAATGTTGCATTTATATCTCGTTGTAAAAGACTACCTTCAAGATCTACACCAAATTGGAGTTGCTCACTAGCTTTAAAATGATAACAGCATTGCAGCCCCGTAAAACTCAATGTAGTACTGATCGTGGTAGCATCATCATCTAAAAATAATGTTTTAGTTATGAGTTGTTTATTTAATTTAAAAAATTCTAATTTAATTTATGAAAAAAAATTTTTATTTACATATATATCTTCCTAAGACATTAAACACTGTTATATGTCCATTTGGAATTTGAGGACTACGTTGGTGAATAATTTCAGCACCTACTGAAGTTTTATTGTTCAAAGCATATAAATACTGAGATATATAAATTCCTGTGTAATTGAATAAATCAGGATTGACTAAACACAATGTAGCAGTGTATCTGTTTGCTCTATACTCAGCCGTTGTCTGAATCCCAGTTGTTTTGAACTCTTGAAACTATTGTGAACAATCCTGCATAAATATTTTTAGCAAAAATATTAAATTATAATTAAAGAATTACCTGAGTGTTAAGTTTGATCTTGACATTATCCCAGGGTTGTACATTAACATTTGTAGAAATATTCCCACGGGGATCAATGTCACCTATCAACAGAGGACTAAAATCACCAGGCCCAACCTGATTGGTTCCTACAAAAGTAGATCCAAATTTGTAGTTTGATGTTTGACTGGTTGATCCTATAAGAAGACTGTGACTAACAAAAAAATGATTGCTTAATCCTTTATTGATGACAAGTCTGATGCCCTCAAAGGTCATTGGAAATAATTCTATAATAACAATAGATTTTTAATTAAAAACACTACAAATAAAACTATACAATAAGATAAGAAGTAAGTAAAAAACAAACCTTTGCATTTTTTGTGTAATTCTTCAACAGAACCTGGGTTTTCAATACGATTTTCAGGAGGTAGCTTTTGCGGTGTCGTGGGTGGCGGGATGGGTGTCGTATTAGGCGGCATCGGTGGTAAATTAGATGAAGCATGTACGTTACCCATAACGTTTTATTTAAAAGAAATTCAATATACAATTTTAAACTACTTGTTTCCACGCTGTTTTATTAAGTAAAGAAATTCACCGACAGGAGATAGTTGATAATTTGATAGTCAAAATCGATGAGCCAAGTTCACTGATACGGTTCATGGAGGAAAAATTCATAATTCATTGGTGAGAACATGCAATTTTGGAATAATTTTAATTTTCTGATTAACAACAGCACTGCAAATAAATTCAAATTTAAAAATCAAATTTTTTTTAAATATTTTTTATCCAAAACAATAATATATCGATTGACGATTAATGTATTAAATAATTATTTGTATCTTGCAATTTACAAAGTAGCAATTAACGTGCAAATGTGGTAGCTGCTTAAGTGATAGGGACGTAAGGTTATCTTTTTTAAATATTTTTTTGAATTAAACTTGTATAGTTGCATGTATATATGATATTTACACATTTTAAATTTTTTATAATAACTACCTAATTATTTCATCCAGACAAGTAAAATTTGCAGTTTTTTTATTTGGAAATACTATTAATAATTATAATCAATTAATAATATAGTTAAAGATTGAAACAAAAAATATTCAGGTATAAAAATATTGTTGTACTTGTGCAGTTTTGCTATTTTTCAGTTTATTTTGAACATACTAAATTTAAAAATGGCTAAAAATCTGTTATTTAAATTTTATAAGCAGAGCGATATGTTATTTTGTTTATCATTGTTACTTTGTAAAATAGAAAAAATATTTTGATTTCTAACTCATACAATTTCTATCAAATTTAAAATATATCCCGAAAAAAAAAATAAAAAACAATACTTTAATGATTATTGCCCGCAATTTTAGTATTTCATTTTTTTAATTATAATTCAAAAATAAATAACTGAGAACTAATAACTATAAAATTCAATTTTTCACTAAATATTTATACGAACTACTTTTAGAATTGATGTAATTTTCAAAATATTTCGGCACTTTTGTGTTAGTTATTTATTAATAGGTAGATTAAATTTTTTTAATATGAGATAAAATTTTTTGTTTTGAGTAAAAAATTAAAAATTAAATACAGGTTTCATTACAAGTTATTTGCTAAAAATTAAAAAAAATTTAAGCTAACCATTTTTTTGACAACTGATATTTAAAACTTTAAGTTTTGTAAAAATTTGATGCTTAAACGTATTATAAAAATGTGCATTTATATTTTTACTTTTTACTTTTTAATCAAAATAATTTATGAAAAACCTTAGTTCAATTTATAAGCCTTTTATAAAACTATTAAAATTTATTAATTTTTAACCAAAACAAATTATAGCAAATTTTTGTAATTTTGTCAAAATAAGAACTTCAATTAATAAACATAAAATTAATATTAGCTTAATAATTTCAACATTGATAAAATAACTTTTATTGCTTCATGTCCACAACCAGTACTAAAGTATCTAAATTTAAATCAAAACCCATGTATGAAATTTATGTATAAAAACATTAACCAGGGAAATTTTGTAACTCGACTTCATACTATTGCACTTTTTAATAAGATATTAAAATATATTTATTCTTGTATTTAATACACAAATTATAGTGAAACATCTTTATATAGGTATTTTGGGTTGTATACATTTGAAAAAATTCCAAAATTCTATGGTAGTTGTAAATTAGAAAATAAAAAAAATTCCAATAAATGGAATTTTATTTACTTTATTTTCTTATTACCAGATAATCAAATACAATAACTATAGAAATGAATAAGTTAGTTAATGAGATAACTTAAATAATGGATTACTATATAGCATAGAAACATTTGTTTATTAAAAAAAAAAATAAGTAATACTATCAACAATAAAATAAATAATAATAGACGATAGTACAAACTCTTAAATATTTATAGCCTGGTGTGTGCTAAATGAGTGTTGAGTGATTTAACTTCTCTTGGGATCAGCCATAATTCACCCAGAAAAGTTAAACAAGAAATAGTAGCTTACATGGAAATCTTTTTAGTAAACCCTCTCCCTATTTAAAATTTCTGGACACTTAACCAGATAGATTATGTTTAAATTGTATAATTGCATGGAAAATAAAATTAATAGTAAATATCAGTTATTTAAATAGAAATGCATAAACATAATAACATTATACTATAATATTAACATTATTTTTGTAATTGTAAGTCTTCTTCATTAGTCTTTTGTTTAAGGAAAGGTTTATGAAGAGTATTATATAGTTGTGTTGCTTTATGTTGAGCAAACCCTGGACACAATGCTAAAGCTGTCTGAGAAGCTTTACAAATATTTTCCAACGAACCAAACGTAGATAATAACAATGCTGCATCAGTTTTATTTACAGCACGAATAGTTGTAAGTGCATTGGCTACCTATTGTTTAAAGAATAAAATGTAAATTATAATTTTAATTTATTAAAAATAAAAATCTAAATTTTACTCTGGAATAGTCATCTGTCTCTGCTTTCTCCATTATAAGATCTGGTGGTTTGTTTTCAAATATTTTATAAGTTTCAATTAGTTTGCCTGCCTCTTCAGAAGTCCAAGCTAACATTAATGTAAGTTCAGCTACCAGACACATTCTAGTCAATTGTTTTAGAGCTGTATGTGGTTCTTTGACATCAATCTGTAGTAACAATACTCGTAGTTCGTATAATTTACCCAAGGATTTTACTCTATTGTATATATAATCAGGCTTTAGCATATGATAACGTAGGGATAAAAATAGTGCACATGTTGTACGTCCCATTACATAGTCAGGTATAATGTCGTCTGAATATTCCCATGGCACATTAACAATAGATTTAAGCAATGGATTGCCTCTCTATTAATAAATACAAATTAATATATAAAAATATTTAAAATTCATCGACAAGATAATAATTATATACTTGTTTATTGTTGACTAAAACACCTGAAAAAGATGCAGCTTTCACGGGGGATTGTTTTGCACCACTTGTGCTAGGTTGATTAGTAGTGGCTTCTGAAACATTATGATTTACACCAACAGAATTAATTGTTTCATAATGTTCTGACGCTTTTACTCTGCTAAATTCATCTATCACAATAAACACATGCACGTTAAAATAATATTTTACATCAAAGTAAATAATATAAATATTATATTTACCAGCAAAAGAACCTGGATTATTCATGTGTGCTATAACTGAAATGTATTCTTAGTTGAATTAGGCTTTAAGTTAAATTATTTATACCCTTCTAAATAAAATACAACATTTTAATTTAAGCTGTAAAAAATGAGATATAATGTAAAAATCTTAGAAGTTAAAATTTAAAACTATAAAATATTTTGTAACTTTTAAATTATTAATTAACGTAATAACTTAGGTATTTACTAATAACAGTAATAACTATAATGTTTATCATATTATTTTAAATTTTTTCATATTTGATAACATTAGTTTTTTTTTACTTGATTGATAAGTGATTAAAGCACAAAATTCTGTGATTAAAGTAATAATAATATGTGATTGTGATAGTTATTCAATAATAAGACATAACAATATTAATTATATTATATTAAAAAATTAGTAAGTTAATACTTATTACTTATTACACACAAATACATTAAACTAACCTTTCTAGTTTCTAATTTTAATTTTGTAAATAATTGATATTTTAATTTTATTTTACAGTTGAATGAATTGTTTTTTGTGAAATATATTATTAGTTTGTTTTTTCTATTTATTGTGAGTAGTATTAAATATTAACGCTAATATATAAATTTGTAAAATTAATGTTTTGAAAATATAATTTATTATTAATTAATTACTTATTTTTTTTAATATTGCTACTAATATAACATTAAAATGTTTGGTCACAGATAATATTGATTTGACTATTACCACTAAACAAGATGGGTGAACGTAAAGGACAAAATAAATACTACCCACCAGATTATAATCCTGCAGTAGGAGGATTGAATAAATTTAAAGGAACTCATGCCTTAAGAGAACGAGCTCGAAAACTCCATATGGGTATTTTAATAATTCGTTTTGAAATGCCATATAACATATGGTGTGATGGATGTAATAATCACATCGGAATGGGTGTTCGGTATAATAAATATTTTATTATTTGAAGTATTTTAATTAATTAATTTGAATATTTAGGTATAATGCTGAAAAAAAGAAAATTGGGATGTATTATTCAACTCCAGTTTATCAATTCCGAATGAAATGTCATCTATGTAATAATCATTTTGAAATCAAAACCGATCCTGGGGTAATAACAAACTTATAAAATAATATTTTTATTAATTAAAATTAATGAATTTTGAAACAAAAATAGAATTTAGATTATGTAATTGTAAGTGGTGCTCGTCGACAAGAAAATCGATGGGATCCCTTTGAAAATGAACAAATTGTTCCAGAAGACAAAGATACGAGTAAACGACTGTTTGATGATGCTATGTTTAAACTTGAACATGGTACTGAAGATATAGATAAAGCTAAAAAAGCAGCTCCAATATTAGTTAAGCTTCATGATGCACAAGATGCTAAATGGAATGATGATTTTGCTGCAAATTCCTTACTGAGACAACAGTTAAGAGTAAGTTTGAAATAAAATTACCAACATATTTTTAATTTTGTATTTCTGGTTAACATTTATGTAAATATTCAATAGATATAACTTATCAATTATTTAATAAACAAAATAACTATACATATTATATTACTAAGGTATCCTAACATTTTTATACAAGGGTCACATATAATATCTATAACTGTTAGCAGGCCAAAGTATTAACACCATAGACTAACACATACAATTTTTGATTTTATAAAAATATTTATATATACTTATAAATATTTTATGAAATAGTTCTTTTAATATACTTAGTATTAATTTTAATAATAATTTATAAATTATAAATATTTTATTATTGTGAAGTAAAAAATTGATATTTTTATGTAAATAATTTTTTGAATTGAAAGAGGAAGATGTTACATGTTCTAATTTTCAACATTGACCTCTAATGTTTGTTAAATATGACCAATTTTTATTTGTATTTAATGTATTTCATTTTAGAAAAAGTTTGTTTGCACAAATAAGTTGTAGTATGTGCAGTTAGATATTCAAACATAATTTTTTTCCTAAATTTAAATATTGTGTATCTAGAAGAAATTATAAAATTAAACTTCAGTTTTCATATTTTTATTTTTATTTTTAGGGCATCATTACATTATAATTGATTGCTTTATTTAAGAGTAGAAAACAACTTCTTAAAATCACAACTTAACAAATTTAAAAAAATATTTATTCCATCATATTTTATTTCAAAGTCAGAAAAACAATGTTAGAATAAAATTGGATTTTAACTTTTAAGTTCAGAAATTATTTTTTTAGTAAAATTGACTAAAAATTTTGTTTTAGATTTTTTTTTATATCTATCATAAGAAAAAAAGTAAAAAGATTCTTTTAAATTTATGTTTCAAATAAAATAAGATTTTGCCTAAATACTTTTATGGAAAGTGTAAATATTGCAAATGAGAACTTAAGACTGAAGTAAATTATAATTAACAAGTACGTGCAATAACAGTTTTGGATATTACTTATATTTTTAAATTATTTATCATCAAGGAGGGATGGGTTGGGGGGTTAACATTTAAACGCAGATCATAGTTTAAAGATCCTTGCTGTATTTAACAAAAATTAATAGAAAAACAAATAATATAATTATAATTAAGATAATTAATAACTATTATTAACTTTTTTAAGTTATTAACTCTTATTTGGACAAATTATTTTAATACTTTTATCGATTTTCAGACATTGAATTCTTTTATAATAATTAATTCATTTAAATTTCAGACAAAAAAACAGAAAATTGCTGTGAAAGAAAAACATGATAATGAATTAAAAGAAAGGCTATCGTTAAGTATTCCATTAGTAGATGAAGTTGAAGAAGATGTAAAAATTGCCAAACTTTTAAGTTACCAAACTTCTGATAGTAAGAATACATCTTATTTATTTTAAAGCTATGTAATTTTAAAATTGTTGATTATTATTAAACAAATCAAAAATATTAGTTGTTAATACTTTTAAATTCTTATAATTATTGATTGATTATAGAATTTAAAATAACTCTAATTTTGGTGAAAAAACACAAGCAGAGTCAAGATTTTTTGTTACTTATTCATACATTATTAAAAAAAAAATTAACATTACATACACAGTATCATTTTTTTATAATATACTTAGTTTGTCACATACCAGATTAATATTTTACCTTTTTATAATAATGTATGTGTGTTATTAAGAGAACATTTAACAATTTTAACACATCATTATTCTGAGAAATATCTTGAATATTAAATATGTAGCTATTTTTCTCGTGTTTGTCAAATCATATCATAAAACTGCTCATACAATATTATGCTTATTTGTAAATATTAAATTTAGAGATGTAACATTGTATTTATTCAAAATTAAGTTTAAAAATAGCAATATAATATGTATAATGCACGTAACTTAATAAATTTAAGGAGTTTTTCATGTATAATTATTTAGTATGTGTGTATTTTTTGTTCTTTTTAGGTACTAAAACCAGACAAAAAAAATTTATTCATGGACTTCGTAAAACTCCAAAGCTAGATCCTAGTAAACCAAAAAAGTGTCTTAATGTGGGTATCATTCCATCGACTATTACAGCGAAAAAAGAAATATTACCAATTGCTAATACTAATAGTTGTCCTACATCATCACTTGTGTCTGCAGATTATGGGTCAACGTCATCATCAGATTAGTATTTTATTAAACAATTAAAAACCGTTATTATTTAAATATTTTATTTTAATAAATAAAAAACTATAACAATTATTGGTAACAATGAAAAATTAGAAGAGTATAATTTGAAAATAAGTACTATTAAAATTTTCAAATAATATTTTTATGTTTATCTTCGATTTGTCTACATGCTTTTTCATATACACCAAAAAATAAAGCTCCACCAATCATTATAAATACAACTCTTGGAAGAAAACCAGCAAACAATCTGAAACAATGAACATAATATTAAATAATAACTAATAATAAGTGCATTTGTGCAAGATTTTTGAATTTTTATAATTGAACATACAACTTTTGAATGTAATAAAAAATAAAATATTATAATGATCAGAAAAAGGGTGTTTACTCATTGATTTAAAAGAAAAAAAGAAATAAATCTTTTACAACTTTATAGTTGGACCACAAAAGTAAAAAAAAATGTAGTTACTATTAATTTATTATTATTATTGTTTTGTAATATTTATTGATTTTCAACATGAAATGTATCAAATGCACTGAAGCAATCAAGCAGCATAATAACATATGCTAACATATTAATATTATATTATTCATCATTTTATTAGAATTTCACAGCAAAAGTAAATTGTCTTAAATATGCTACTAGACAGATTGATAAACATTACAACATTATATGAATAATTATACAAGTAACTTTGAAACAATTTAATTCCAAAATTATTTTGTACAAATTAATTAAATATCAAAAACTAATCACAATTAATAATTATAACTTAACTAAGTATTTTGTTGACACTTCTGTACTCTATAAAAATTTTGTTTTTTTATGACCCATTAAACTGATGGAGCATAGACTGATAAAAAAAAAAAAAATATGTCATGCTCTGCAATTCATTTTTTATATAAGGAAATAATTTATGTAACTACTTATCAGTACATTGTCAAAAATTATATGGACATTGTGTCCTAGAAAAAATTAAATAAATTATCTCTATAACTGATAAGTTGTAATAGAAATTTTTATTGCTACTATGTTTCCCTTTATCTGAGTATAATATTATAAGTTATAATGCATTATCAAAAAATATATATATTTATATAGTACCCATTAATTCCTTTATTTAGGTAAATGTTTTTGAAGACTGTAGAGAAGTTTTGGTCCACGGCACTATTTGCTAACATAATTTGTGTTTTTGTTACATCAATGGGTGTAGTCAAAGCAGCTGCTACACCGCCTATAAAAAAAAATTACTATGGTAATATAATTTTCAAAGCAAATATTATAATATAAATGTTAAATAATAATAAATAATAACCAGATATAGAACCACAAAAGGCAACTTCTAATGTTGTTAGAGGTTTACCAGTAAAATTTCTGTACTCTTTTTTTAAGTACTCCCATATTGGTAGTTGCAACATAGAGAATGGTACATCACGCATAACAGTTGTCCAGAATCCACGATAAAAACCAAACACTCCTTCGTTAGCATATGCATTTCTTATGATTTTTAAAATGGATTCTTGATTTGGTGATGCTTGACGTCTTTGTTTTACTATTTCTATGGGTACTTTGGTTGTACAACAAACCTGTATAATTAATAATTAAGTTAATAATAGTATTATTAAATATAATTTATACTCAAATGTTAATATTTAATATGAAATAATACAATATAATTAAAATGTAGTATACCACTTCACCAACGATTCCTGCGCATAAATGAACTAATGGAGCGGTATTGTTAGATACATTAGGAAATAGATTTTTAAAACCATCATAAGTGCCAAAAAACAATCCCGCTAAAAACATATCGGTTTCAATTGTTTTATATGATAATAATAACAACAAATATTTTACCTGTAAAAGGGGCACCAATAATAGTCGGCGTTAGTCCTTTATAAATACCTCTGAAACCACCTGACTGAACAAATCCATATTGGCTTTGTAATCTAGTTTTTAATGTGTCAAGTGGAAATAATGCAACATCAACAACAGTTCCAGCTACAGCACCAGCCTAAAAAATGGATAGTTTTTACTAGTGCATTTACTTTAATATGTAATTACAAATTTAATAGTATTTCAATAGTAATATCAATATAAATATAAGATCATTGCATTTTTATTTTAATCAATTGAAAATATATAACTACCAAAATTTAAAATGAATATATGGAATATGGAGATAAACTGTGTTAAAAATAATAATTGATTATTAATAATTAATGTGTTGCTTTATCTAATATTTTATAACTTAATTGGTATAATATTAGCTAATAAATTATAATAAATATTAAAATAACTCTATAATATTACTCATCAGATTAGTAGAACCTCTGAATGTAACTCTATGTATACACTGATTAGAGCTTATCATCTTAGAATAAGTTGCAAATTTACTTTACCTAAATCACAAAATGTAAAAACTTTAATTTTAATTTTATACATTAACTTGGTTGTTAATAAATTAAAAACATCAAAACTAGGTAGATATATCATTAAAAACCAAAACTAAAAATGTGTTTGATAACATATAGATTGTACTAGGTTTGTACATATCATATAATATGAAATATATTTAATACCTAAAACAGTTTTTGTTTAGAATACAGGAAAAGTTTTAATTATTATAAATTATAAAATGAAAATACATTTTTCACAATCAATAAAATAGATATATCTAGGTACATAGGTACTTAATGACTTTTTAAAATTAAGTATTTTTTTTTTTTTTTAAGCTATACAAAATATAGGTAAATTAAAATTAAAAATTGAATTATCTACGTCTACAAACAAAACTATGATAGATAATGCATTAAAAGTAAACTTACTATTAATGAAGTTGAATAATGTCTGGGCGGCACATTAATCGAAATAGAATTTAACTTGTTATTTGTATTCAATTTGTTTTCATTCATTGTAGGTATATTGCTGAGTGTGAATAACAATTAGGTATTTGATTTAATCTAATGTGTTATGTACATAGGTATCAACTGCCAAAAATCAACAGTTAAAAGAAAAAAACAAGATTACGACTAGTACGAGACTGCATTATTACTTAGTATTCACAGCACGAGTGATATTTAAAAAATAAATTCTTGTGTTTCTTAAATTCTTAATGTTATCAATATTATTTTAGTGTTAACATTATCAAAAATAATATGTAGGTATTATAAAATTTCAAGAAATGTTGCATAATTTTATAATTCAAAACGCAGTTTAATATTAATTCGTTATTACTTTACATACAACAAAAATATTTTTATTATAATAATATATATTAATAGCTAAATCATATTTTATCAATTATTTATGCTTATATACATTATCTAAATTAGGTTAGAATTGTATAATTCCAAGACAGAGTGATTTGAGACTTCTCACTCTACGTTCTACAATTTTGCCGAATTTAAGTTTTAACAATTAATTATTATCCTTCAGAAAAGTAAAAATAATAAAAAGTCTCATATGTAGGTATTCAATTTATTTTTTTTGGATAAAAATTAATTATTATTAGAAGTAATTTTTTTTTAATTTTCTTATAATTATAAAAAAAAAAATCAGTAAAGAACCTATTAGATATAAAATGTTACTTAGATATCTAAGCAATAAGTTTTTAAAAGACTGTTCGTCCAATTTTAAGTAAATCAACGTACCTATGCAAGGAAATCAGATGCTTTCGAAATTATTACATCCGCATTTCACGCAACATTTATGATTACTATAATTGCTTTCATTTATTTTGTTTTTATTTTATGCTTATAATTATTATTTTAAAGCTATTGAAGTATTAACTATACGTAAATAATTTCGTTGGTGCAATTTTTTTAATTATAAACATATACATATTGGTACCTACCTATATAATAATTTAATATATAGATATATAATGACAATGACCGGTGCAATTGAAAACAGCTGGAGTATATAGAATGGCTAAAATGTTGCACACTAATGAACCAGCATTTGATTGGCTTATTATTCTAAATAATCATATAAAAAAATAATTTGACAATAGTTGTTTTTTTACTAAGGTTTTATTGTTGAAATATTTCTAAAACATATCTAAGACTGAAACAATTCGTAAGTAAGGTAGGTCATAAGTAGGTACTAGGTACTACCTACAATACTGAAATATAAGTAAGTAGTCAATAACTTAATTGCAATTCCGTGACAAAACACATAAATATTAATATAATATTTCCATGGTAACAATCATAAAATTATATTTTAAATTTAAATGAAATAAAAATCATTATAAAATAAATAGAACAATGTAAGTAACGGTAACCACGTCATATATAATGTATAATGTTATTATATTAATATAATTACCTATTTATACTTATATTTAAACGAATTATAACTTTGTCGTTACCTATTTCATTGTGATTAATATTCATACGACGTAATTATGTCGATAATAAAATTAAAATTGATGAAAAAAATATTCAAAATGTTCATAGGTAACTCACAACTTTACAAGACGTCAAACAATAATTGTTTTCTAAAGCAAATTCTTAAACTCAATCACCTCAGTCATTAAGCTACCTACGGGCGACGACCAATTAGGTGGTAATCAGCGTATTTTACCCGTTAACCGGCGTTTTCAATGTTTTCATTTTGTAATCGGTTTATCAAGAATTTACATTATCATTTATTCTTAAAACATATTATAATCTAAGCATTTGTTTACCGAATCTACAAGACAAGTGTTATCACTGAATATTATTATATTCTGTGGTACTATCACGGCCTTGTTATCACGACATGATGCGTTACCTTCCGGACCATGAACTGAGATAGGTAGTTTACTTATTTACCTTATTTTATGGTTTTTATTGATCAGGTTTTTAGACCGCGATTTATTAAATATATTTAGCCATGAAAATTATCAATATTAACAATAGACACGAATAAAGATCATATAACTAGGAAATTTATTCATATTCAATGAAAATAGAATTTCAATAATACATATTGCCTATTGGATATCTAAATATTTTGGTTTGTGGTTTTAAGTTTTAATTTAGATCAAAATATATTCAAATGTAAATTAAAATAATATTTT